AATGTAGAATAACTGTCCAAAGAGGTATCTGTATAAACTTAACTTAGTATTGATCCCAGGTTTTATAAATTTACTAAACAATAGAAACAATTGATTAAAGGTTTAATGAAATGATTGCGTTCAGAGTACAAACATTGCGGCACTGAATTGACACAACTCTAACGTTAACACTAATCACACGACATTCGTCAGTAAAAGGGAATCTAATGACATAAAAATCGCAAACAATCATATACACAGTAATACAATATGTAAATTCTCTAGTTGAGTTCTCTAGATGAGAAAGTACAACTTTGACAAACTTTAATAAACTATTAATATACATTAGTCATTTGCTATAATTTGTAATGATGTGCTATAATTTGCTTTATTCCGTAAGAATATAACATTTTCAATGTATTAGTACTGAATTGCCATTTATAATACACTATGGTTACAAGAGTTGAGAAGAATTCGTGCCACTATCGCGTTCATATGTACATCTAATACACCTAAACCTATAACAGTACTAAACCTGTCATATTACTGTTAACAGGTATAGTAAATCCATACTAACAAACTGATAGAAAGGTGAAAATATTTTTATTTAAAATCACATTCAAATTCAATGATTGAATCTATAAAGACATACAGTAGTTTAGAAATGAAATACATTTAAAAAGTTATATCAGTTTTATATTTGATATATAATACAGTCTTACATAATAAATATTAAAAGTTTAATAAAAATGTAAATTAAGTGAAATGAAAGGAGCACTGAATGAATGGTCGCACCAATCGGTGGCTATATATCGGATGGTTTGGAGAATTGCGAGGAATCGCTGGAATTGAAGTGATTGTCCGCATAATAGGGTTTATACTTTCGCACAGAATAGACCAGATATATGGCGAATGTGAACAAAATGATCTCGATCACTGCCGAGAAAATGTAGAACACGATGGCATTGGTGATGTTGAGCAGAAGTAGCCTCCAGTTGTTGTCCGGACACGACTCCTCATCACCGGCCAAATTAAATGGAGAACAGTCTTCGTCGATCTTCACCTTATAGTAGATGAGAGATCCGATGTTAAACACCTTGAGTACGAAGTCGAGGCCATCGACCACAGCGAATACGATGAGTAATTTGATGGTCAGGTAATAGGAGGCAGGAATTGCCACCAGAAGCACCAATACAGCCGTCACTAATGGGAGCCAATGGTGCCACTTGTAGGCCCCGAACAGGACCCCGATCACTGTCAGCGAGCAACTGATAGCACCCGTCACTGGAATCGTGTGTCGCATACATACGGAACTGCTGTCCAACGGAGACCCGGAGTATATTTTAGGCATTTCTGTGGCCAACGATTACAACACTCTCTCATTAAACTGGAAACACAATAGAGTTGTCATGAATCACAAGTTACTGGAGTTTCACTTATTGTCAACAATATTAAGCAAAAGCTTATCTTATCTTTCGTTTCATGAAATACAACACAAAACTATTATAAGTGACAGACCTTTGCAGACATGGGTCTCAAACACACATTCATACAAATGCATGGATTCAGTCCATACTATTGGCTTGTATTTGCAGTCAGACACTAAATGGTCACTAAATGGTCACTAAATGACAAACTATGCGATCGGTGTCTCTCGAGAAGATGCAATTCATGTCAAATACAGTCCCTCTCCTAAACTCCCCCCCAAACCCCTGTTCACTCATTTCATAAGTGGTGACAATATTTTAATTGTTATTTTCATGAATACTGTAGTTATACCGTATTAATTTTGTTCACTTTTAAAAGTAATTATCAATAATTAATGACTGATTTGTGACAGTACATTAACTGTGTGACAATTATCTAATATCTTTGTTAACTTTTTAGATTTTAAAATCTTACAAAGCTAATTTTGCTATTTAATGTAATCTTTTTAAACATAAAAATAAAATAACGTACATTTACATTATATTTTATTAAATAAATTGTTGATATTATTAAATAATGATACAAAAAGTATTTCGTGAATGAATTGATAATTTAGTTCATAAATGAGTGCCAAAAGTGGACAAAATGTTTGCAATAATTGGATAAAACTTGGATCGACTATAAAAGTAATGCTTTATTAGTCACGTGTTTACTGAATGACACATTGATGTCAACATTAGGATTGATTTGAGTGTGAATTGAAATCTGAAGACAATTACAATCACCACAAATGGATTCAAATGAAGTGAACCAACTGATCAGCAAGAACATCTCGTGGACTAAACTACCAGATCATGTCAAACAGGTTTGCATTACAAGTGATTGTCATTTATGGCACAATAAGCGCTAATTTGATGTCAAATGTATTGAACAGAGTATTGGAAACAGCGATGAATACGATAAAAAAGTCCTCGAGTTTAGTGTCAAGAATCAGATGAGATATCGCAAGAACTTAGGTATGAATTAGATGACTGTGTTGTCTGTAATGGTGTTGACTAATAGTCTGTCAATTGATCCGTATCACTCTGTGTAGCTCTTCTCACGCTTCTGAATAATGCTTCTTCACAACGCTATATCAGCTGTCGTGAAGTACAATAAAGGGATGGTAAACAGCCTATATTAGCATGCATACTAGACAACTAATGTTGATTACATCCACTATTAACGGTATGGTATGTAACGGTATGTTGTGGACAGGTATGCGGAATGAGAATAACTCCCTTTCAATACTACAATCAAATGATCAGTGATTTGTTGGAAACGGAGAGAAATTACGACACTTTACCCAACTTTACGGCCGCAGACTGTCTAAGACTTCTTGGAATCGGTCGAAACCAATACATAGATCTCATGAATCAGTTCAGGTCTTCGAAGAAGTTTTTAGGAATGATTCGCAAACCCATCAAAGACTTGTTGCCCAACAAACCCGTCGCTAATATAATGATTGACTTTTGGTGGACAATAAATCCCGGATATATTACCGAAGATGATGTCAAACATATGGTGACTCCCAATGAGAAGATAATCGTTGATAAAATTCTTAGTGAAGACCCGATTCCTTGCCAACTGAAGACTGGAGAAGTGAACCAAAGCGATGTGAGAAGTCTTTACCAAAAAGGACTCATTTATTTCGATATTCCTATTGAAGACTCAGATCTCATACATATCCCTCCTTTGGAAGGGTTTGTCATGAATCGAGTGACCGGTGATTACTTCGAGACTCTGTTGTATAAGATATTTGTGTCCATTGATGAAAAGACAACAGTTTCTGAGTTATCGAGTGTTTTGCAAATTGAGTCCTCACTTGTGAAGAATGCTATTTCCATGTACTGTCGCTTAGGCTTTGCTTTTAAGAAGAACCACGACTTCACTCTCGATGACTGTCATTCCTCGTGGACCAACTCTGGACACCGACTCTCGTCGAGTGACACCAATAGTCACACGAATGAGAAACCTATTGATCGCAAACACAATAAGCAAAACATTTCCAAATTTATCAGTTCTTTGCCGAATGAGGACGAAGTGAGCAGTGAAGGCATCGATGTGTTTGAAGGCGAGTCCGATACCAACACTAAAGATAAATCTTCGGCTCAAAACCATTCAATAAATTCCAATCATGTAATGGCAACCAATTCAAGTGATATTAAAAGGATTGGTCTCTTATATGACTCAACTTTGGCCGCATTCCTAATGATGGGTAATCTGGCGCCGGGACT